TGATTAAGTGTCAGGGTTGTAGCATGGGGGAAAGAATGATAATTTTGGAGGGGATGGCTATAAAAAATGGAAGAAGACGGGGGGTGGGGGGCAAAGAAGAAAGCGAGGAGGAAGAAGAGAAGTGAAGAGGGTGGGTGAAGAGGTTACTTTAGTAAACTAGAAGCGGCAAAGGTTGGATGTAGGAGAAAGGATGAAAGAGAGAGAGAAAAGGTTTGATTGAAGGCATAGGTAGTCTGCATTAATTGGATTTATTTCGATTGGGGTGCAAGAAAAGGGCCTAGTCGCAAAAGGGGACTCGAAGTGGATGGGTCCGTCTTATCAGGAGATAGTTAATCTCACCACCGCCCATTACTCCGCCCAGCAAACAAGGCAGGGAATTGTAACGTACATCATTCAAGAACAGGGGAACAGGGAGGCGGGTGGAGAGGGCGGGGGAAAGAGAACGAATTGGCAGCTGGGGCTAAGTGATGTTGATCACGACAGGAGCAGCATCACAGGAGAAGAATGAAGGGGCAACGAGAGTAGGGAATAAGGCGAAAGACGAGGTTGAAGAAATAACTAAATACCTTCTGAGGGGAGGGATTCGTCGAAAGTGGAAGAAAGAGAAGCAGTGGGGAGGGAGTAGGAAGCGGAAGACGAGGAAGTGGAAGATGAAGAAGAAGATGACGGGAACTAACAGCCAGGTGGGACTGTTGAGATGGCTGATATTTAGCGGAGTGGATGTGGCGTGGAAAGTGAAAAATGAAGATAAAGGATGATGAGGATAATTGCAGTGAGGAGAGATTGGATGGGGAGACGAGAAGAAGAAGACTGAGAGATAATGCGAGGAAATAAGAGAAGAGAAGAGATGGGATGAGAAAAGAGAATTAAGAAGAAGAAAGAGGAAGAGGAAGAGGATGGATGAAGGAATGATGAAGAAGCAGCAGCAGCAGCAGGAGGAGTGACAGGGAGTGAGGGAGCTATCAGAGTCAGTTACAATTACATACATTAAATGACTACCCATTTAATTAATTAATTAATTAATGAATTAATTATTAAACTATTAGTTGGGTAACTTATACCTTGCTGCTTTCTCATGACACGATAAAAACCACCCTCAACCTTCTTCCAAGGACGCTTCAACTCCAAGGTTGTGCACAGTTCCTAGGTAACTAGTGGAGAGGAAGTGGGAGTGCGATTAATGTAACAAATCTTGAAATTCTCAAATCTTCAAATATTTCCTCTCTCTTTGCATCTGTCTGTCTCGACTCATCTGTTTGTTTTCTTGTTCCTCTCATCTTCTTCTCTGCTACCTAGACCTAGAACCTAATATAATATTTGTTCCGTTTCCCAAGCTCCCAGACCCAGCATAAACTAGTTACCCCGGTAGCCTTACGGAGTATATAGGGTTCCGACAAGAAATAACTAATACCAGAAAAAGTCTATCTTAAGCTATGTATCTATTAGTTTCATTTCTACTTTGACCACCTTCGGACTACTTCTTTTCAGCTGTTATTACATTCAACTATGAACATGATATGATGTCAACCCATCAAGAAAAACAAGTGGTTATGTATTTGTTTATATTTGTCTCTGTCAGCTCTTCACAGGCTCATCAATATTAGAATGGATAACATAAAATGTTTTGATTCTAATCTTGTCATGCACATTCTTATATCATTCTCTTTATGAATAGTTAACTATTTTAACTATCAGACAAAATCTTTAATTAGAGACTTTGAAAAATATAGTAAATTAAAGATAAATGAGATTAGCATTATTTTATTTTATCTTGTTGTTAATCAATATATTTATTTAAAATTATTGATTATAGAAATAGATGAAAAGATTAAACTGATAATTTCTGCTATTTAAAATTAAAATATCTTCTCAGTTTATGAAATTGCTATATAAAACACTATAATTTATTTTTATCTATCAACTTAATAAATACTTAATAAATACTATTATATTTATAAATTTTTAAAACAAGATTAAAAAAATCAACTAGTTAGTTAAATAAATAGTAAATTTAAATAAATATAAATTATCACTCTAATTAATATTTATAAAAATATATTTTATAATTTTTTATACTATAAATCAAAAAGAATCAACTAAGTTATCAAGCTGATGAAGTATTACAGAAAAATTTAATTCTATTATTTAAAATATTAAATATATAAACAAATTAAATATAAAAATAAAAAATATCTAGAACTGATTTAAAATTTTCATAAAAGATATTATGATTTCATATAAGATTTAATCTGACAAAATCTATAATTTTGATAAGATTGACTTTAAAATAAAATTTTATGCATCTATATAAGTTCTCATTGATGTTAAATAACTACAGTAAAGCTAGTAACTATAGTTTAAAAATTATAAATATATTAATTATTATAATTAAAATTACTAATGTCTCAGATTGAACTTTCTTTTTATATATTATTTTTAAAAGTTAATATTTTTTAAAAGAGCTAATTTGACAGTTAATTATATAATTAAAACTTAATATTAATTCTAATAAATAAACTATGAATGAAATTGATATTAAATATTTTTTTAACATATTTATTAGCTACAGATTTAGAGTAAGTTAAAACTTTTTTAATTTTTATTTTGAATGATTATAATAACTATCTTATTTTTAAGTCTAATTAAATCTATAGTAAAAATAAAATTATTTCTATATGCAAATCAATATATTTATAAGATTTTATATGATAAAAA